TCGCGGAAGGTTTGTTAGCAAATCAGTGTTGCGAAACCCTGTGTTGTTGTATGCTTTTTGGAAACTCGATTGCGACATCCTTCCCGCACCGAAGGTTTTTGAAGGATTTCGGCATGCGCGCGCGACGACGCGCGCGTGTGCACATCGTCTCCATGTTTTTGCAAGGGATCCGTGGAACAGTGTTATGCTAGACCAGAACATTTTTTTTTACAGGGGAACCTCAGGGGGGGGAAACCGGCCTGCCTGGGATGGTATGATTTCATATTTCGGATGGACGAGTGTGCAGACTATATATATATGTATATATATATGCAGTTATATCATCCCAGAGGGAAGCGTTAAGTCCGGGGGGGGGGGGGCAGAGTCTATTTTATTTTGAGAAAGGAGAATTGATTTTTGCAAACGAGTTGACACACCCCATGCTCTTGTAAACGCCCCACCCACCCACCCGCAACTTGGTTTGCAAAACGCGCGCGGTGGCGATTGCGGTGAGTGCTTGGCGTTGGCTGGTGCATCTCTGCGGCCGCGCCGACCCAAGCGCGCGCAGCGGCCAGTTAGTTTGGCGCGACCGACGCGGCCGCGGTGGCGCTGATCGCTGGGCACGTCCCAGCGAGCACTTCACTGCGAGTCGGCGAGTCGGGCGGGCGCGGTATCATGGCGTCGTCGGGAAAGGTAGGCACGATGATGATGGTAGCGATGCTGGTGGCGATGTTGGCAACGACGGCGGCGCGGCCACTGCGGGCGCCGATGCTGATCGCGCCGACGATGACGGCGCCCTCGAGTCGGCGATGAAGGTTTCGGATTCAGTTCGCGCGAGAATGGCCCGCGTGGTATTGTTTGACGCGGGCCCTGCCCCCCCAGCACGCGCGCGCGGGGGCGTGCGAATGATTCCCGCATGCGGCGCCAGGGGCCCTTTTGGCACAAATCCGTGAACATGTTGAAGAAAACCTAGTTTTCGGTAGCATTCGCGAGAGCACGAGCGCGCTTTGATTGAAAACTGATATTGCGAATTTTTTTCTTTAAAAAATGTGAGACACTCGGTTTTGAACTCGCTGCGAAGCCGAAGGTTCGCGAGGGATTCCGGCATGCGCGCGCAACGACGTGCGCGCGTGCATTTCGCCTCCGTTTTGCACAATATTCTCGCGACGCCACTCGCGACGACGTGCGCGCAAGGGGGTTCGAGCGATTTCGACATGCGCGCGCGAAGCCACTTCGGAGCCATTTCGCGAAAATGGTGTATCAAGTCATGGTTTGCTTAAGAATTCGCCAGAACGCTATATAGATATAACTAAACAACAGTGTTGCACCATGTGGTTCTCATATGTTTTTGGACACTCGATTTTATGTTTAAAAAAAGAAGAAACAACCTTACGACGCCGACGGCGTTTGAAGGGTGTCGGCATGCGCCCGCGACCACGCGCGCGCGTGCTATTCGTATAGTTTTTATTTTTTTTTGTTTTCGTATTCCTCTTTTTTTCCTCTCTCTCTCTATATATATATGTATATTTGATATATACATATATCATTATTATTTTGTATGTTGTTCTGTTTGCGAGTGGCTTTGAAGCCTTTTTTTTTTTGTTTTCAGAGGGTGGCGAGCGGGGCGGATACCGACTGGACTGGGATGGTATGCGTATGCGTTTATATTTCGGGACGATGGGGCAGAACCGTATGTACATAACAATGCGAACTGGGGGGCGGATTCGCCGGGGGGGAGACTCTAAGAAAAAACAATCTTGGTGGTGCGATCTATGCGATGCGACTCATATGGTGCAATCCGTGTTGTGCCATCTACGCTGTTGAAAATATGCGGTGCCATCCACGCTGTGCAATCTACTGTCGCGATCTATGCTGTGCAGCCTATGTTGTGCAACCGGCGTGGTGCAACTCATCAGGTGCTATCTGTCTTGGCGCAATTCTGCGAGGCCGCGGCAAGGCGGCGACGGGGCGGCGACGGCGACAACATAGCTGCCAAACCGACGATCGGGCCCAGACGACGGGCGGTGGCGAAGTGGCGACGGGGCGGCGAAGGCGACAAAATCGCCGCCAGACCGACAATCGGGTCCAGGTCTTTAGAAAAGAGGTAGGAGTCTCCTCCTCCTCCTCCTCCTCCCCCTCCTCCTCTTCCTCCCCGCCTCCTCCTCTTCCTCCCCGCCTCCTCCTCCTCCTCTTCCTCCTCCTCCTCCTCCTCCACCTCCTCCTCCTCCCAACCCCTCCTCCTCCTCCCCCCTTCCTCCTCCTTCCTCTCCTCCTCCTCCTCCTCCTCCTCTCCTCCTCCTCCCTCCTCCTCCCTCCTCTCTCTCCTCCTCCTCCCACCCCCTCCTCCTCCTTCTCCTCCTCCTCCTCCCTCTTCCTCCTTCTCCTCCTCCTCCCTCCTCCTCCCTCCTCCTCCTCCTCCCCTCCTCCTCCTCCTCCCACCCCTCTCCTCCTCCCCTCCTCCTCCTCCTCCTCCTCCTCCTCCTCCTCCTCCTCCTCCTCCTCCCCTCCTCCTCCTCCCCCCACCCCCTTTCCTCCTCCTCCCCCCTTCCTCCTTTTCCTCCTCCTCCCCCTCCTCCTCCTCCTCCCTCCTCCTCCTCCTCCTCCTCCTCTCTCCTCCTCTCCTCCTCTCTCCTCCTCCTCCTCCTCTCCTCTCCTGCTTCTCCTCCTCCTCCTCCTCCTCCTCCTCCCTCCTCCTCCTCCTCCTCCTCCTCCTCCTCCTCCCCCTCTCCTCCCTCCTCCTCCTCCTCCTCCTCCTCCTCCTCCTCCTCCTCCTCCTCCTCCTCCTCCTCCTCCTCCTCCTCCTCCTCCAGATGGCTCCCTGGATCCTGGAAGAGGCGGGGCGGTGTGGCCTCCCCGGTGCCCATCCCGTGCCTCCCCTTTGGCCGCCCGTGGCCCCTCATGGCCGCCCGTGGCCTCGCGGAGCCGGAGTCGGTGGGCCGACGCGGCCTCCCGTGACCTCTCCTGGTCTTCCATCGCCATCCTTCGGGGGAGGAAAAGGTACTCGTTTTCCCCTTTTTGGGCCTCCTGGGAGGCCCTCGTCGCCACCGCTGGATCCTCCTCGAAATCCTGGTCAGAACGCAGCCCGGGAGAGTTACGGGGAGTAGCGGTATCGGTACCTTTTGGTTTCCCCAATCCTTGTGCTCATCCTGATGCCCATCCCTGCCTCTAGCCCCATCCCCATCCCGATCCCGATCCCCTATATTCTTAGCCCTGCCCCGATGCCCTCCGCGTGGCCCCCCCCGTCGTGGCCCTCTTTATCGTGGCCTCCCAGCGTGGCCCGAGTCGTGACTGTGTGGAGCTGCCTAGTCTCAGGAGCCCTTGCCCTGCCGAACGTCGCCTTGGGTGGAAGATGGCCGAGGCGGCGCTGCACAAGCGGAGGCGGCTCTTGCAGGGCCAGCACCCACAGCGCGGCGAGAGTGCGACGATCCTCGCCAGCTGGCCGACTTCCCGCAGAGCGCTCAGATTTTCGGAGCCTGCGTTTGTGCGGGCCTGCGCATGGCGCCGCTTCTCGATCGCGGACTCGTAAAGGCCCACATCGCCAGAGGAGGGACAGATCGCCCCTCTGGGCAATCCCTCGGCAATCCCTGGGCCCCCCTCCTTCTTCTCCTCCTCCTCCTCCTCCTCCTCCTCCATTCCTTTTCCTTATCAATAGCTTTTCCCTGTCGCACCCCGAGGCCAGTTTTTAGGGCGGGCCGGGCGTTTCGCCTGAGACCTCTTCACATTGACGATTCTGAAAAATAAAAAGTGGCAGCAGTCTCACGGATGGAGGGCGGATGGTTTTCAATATGTGGTTCTCGCCTTAGCGCCGCGCACATTCGTCTTCAAAACTTGCAAGAGTTTTACATATTGAGGGCGGGTCGGTTTCAAAATGTGGCTCTCGCCTTAGTGCCGCGCACATTCGTCTTCAACACTTTCAAGAGTTTCACGGATTGAGGGCGTGTCGTTTTCAAAATAAGGCTCTCGCCCTAGCGCCGCGCACATTCGTCGTCAACATTTGCAAGAGTTTCACGGATTGAGGGCGTGTCGTTTTCAAAATGTGGTTCTCGCATTAGCACCGCGCACATTCGTTTTCAAAATTAGAAGAGTTTCACGGATTGAGGGCGGGTCGTTTTCAAAATATGGCTCTCGCCCTAGCGCCGCGCACATTCGTCGTCAACATTTGCAAGAGTGTCACGGATTGAGGGCGGGTCGTTTTCAAGATGTGGCTCTCGCCTTAGCGCCGCGCACATTCGTTTTCAAGCTTTGCAAGAATTTCACGGATTGAGGGCGGGTCGTTTTCAGAATGTGGCTCTCGCTTTGGCGCTGCGCACACTCGCTTTAAACATTTGCGAGCGTGTCACGAATTCCCGTGATCAGCGTACCAGAAATTGTGTTTTGGAAGGATTCAGGATTATGCGGGTGCAACAGTTTGTTGATTCGCGGTCTTGAAGTCCCAAGAATGGCGTTCTGGCACGATTCCGGATCGTCAAGACGCAGCAGTCAGGTTGATCCGTGGCGATGAAATCCCGAGAACAATGTTTTGGCATGCTTCAGGGTCTTCAAACGGTCGTCTTCCAACGAGGCAGTTTCCTGAATCGTAATGAACCGTTGTAGGGGCCTATGAAGAGGGAGCTTGGAGGGAGCGTTAATTCCAACATCGTTGATGGCTCTTGGGTTTACACTGGTCCTCCTCCTCCCCCTCCTGCTCCTCCTCCTCTTCCTCCTCCCCTTCCTCCTCCTCCTCCACCTCCTCCTCCTCCTCCTTCTCCTCCTCCTCCTCCTCCTCTCCTCCTCCTCCTCCTCTTCCTCCTTCTCCTCCTCTCCTCCTCCTCCTCCTCCTCCCTCCTCCTCTCCTCCTCCTCCCTCCTCCCTCCTCCTCCTCCTCCTCCTCCTCCTCCTCCTCCTCCTCCTCCTCCTCCTCCTCTCCTCCTCCTCCTCCTCCTCCTCCTCCTCCTCCTTCCCTGGGCCTCTCGGCGCGGCTCTGGCCCGCGCTTTTCCCCCCGCCCCCCGCGCGCAGCCGCGACCTGCCTCGCCGGGGCGAGGATCCCGCCGCGGGACCTGCCGGTGAAGCGGGACGTCGTCAACCGGGAGCGCGCGCGCGCGGGCCGTGCCGTGAGCCGCTGGACGGCGGCATGTTTGTTGTTTGTCGGTCCCGGCGCTTTCATTCGGTTTCGGCCTGAAGAACAAAAATTGGTACAAGCAGAAGCTTCTGGTGCTCCTCGCGGATTTCTTGGATCCGCGCTGGGCTCTCCCGGCGGCGACTCTGGCGCCGCCCTTGGCGCGCTGCGCGCGCCAGGGAGGAGGGCCCAGCGCCGATCCGAGAACTCCGCGCGGACCTCCAACAGCTTATGTGTACGCCGTTTTTTGGTGTGTATCTATGTATACGTATATATGTATGTATGTGTATATAGATGTATATGTATATATATATATATATATATATATATATATATATATATATATGCAAACAAAGAAAGGCAAAGGCAAGAAACGATTCGCGGGCTGCTCTCGGGCCCCAGGGCCATCAGACACGGGTCCGGGGCCAAAGGCCACCCTCAGGCAAGCGGTCGGGAGCTCTGGGGCCGCGGGCTCAAAAGCAGCAGTCCGGAGGATGTCTGGGTCGGCATCGTGGTCGTGCGTTGTCTGTTTCCGTCGTCGTCGCCTGTTTTCGTCGTCGTCGCCTGTTTTCGTCGACTTTGATTCCCTACCTAGGCTCTGCCTAGAAGGGTTCGTACTAGTAGGCTTAAAGGGGCCGGGCAGTGGAACCCGCCCCGGGCGGTTCCCCCGGCATCCGCCCCGCGGTTCCCCCAGTGACGTTCCCTTAGCTTCGCGTTGCTTATCTCATCTTAGCTTAGCTTATTTCATCTTACCTTAGCTTAGTTTCATCTTACCTCAGTTCCCTACCTAGGCTCTGCCTAGAAGGGTTCTTACTCGGAGGCTTAAAGGGCCGGGCAGTGGAACACGCCCCGGGCGGTTTTCCCGGCATCCGCCCCGCGGTTCCCCCAGGATCCTGGGAGCTTTAGCTTTGGCTTTAGTTTAGCTTTAGCTTTAGCTTAGCTTTAGCGTAGCTTTAGCTTAGCTTTAGCTTAGCTTTAGCTTAGCTTTAGCTTAGCTTTAGCTTAACTTTAGCTTAGCTTTAGCTTAGCTTTAGCTTAGCTTTAGCTTAGCTTTAGCTTAGCGTTACTGTCACTACGAATGCTGCTTTCCTAGGGGCTCCGACTCCTAGGTAGGGTCGCACTGGGATAATTTTTGCCGTCGTCGGCAGCCTCAGAAACAGCCAGCCAAAACACCGGCGGTCCTCCTTCTTCCTCATGCTCCCATCTTCTCTCCTCCTCCTCCTCCTCCTCCTCCTCCCCTCTCCATCCTCGTCCTCCTCCTCCTGCCTTTCTTTCTACTCTTCCTTTCTATTACGCATACCGGCCACGAATACAAGGTACCAACAAAAGGTTAATCCAACATGCTCCATCCTTCACAAGCACCGCCTTCAAGGATGTCAGAGCCAATGTGTCCCACCCGAATCGACATGTCTATGCATACTTTCAGTTGCACAATCGGCACGCTAAACGGTCCTCCCTCCCTCCTTTCCTCTCTCCCCTTCTAGTCCGCAGGGCCGCTGACGTCTCAAGTAGCCCTCCGAGAGCCGCCAGCGCTGCTCCATGCGTCGTCGTTGTTGTTGTCGTCGTCGTCCCTGCTGCCCTTTTGCGTTGGCCTGCCATGGGGCATAGGCTCGTTGGCTTGAAATGCGAGCAGAGTGCAGCAATCAGTGATCTCAGAGCCGTGAGGTCAGAGGAAGACAAGTGGAAGCAGGTGCGTGCAATGATGCTAACGGAGCCTCAACCATCCACCATCAGCCGTAAAAGAAAGGCGAGACAGGCTAGAGTTGTTATTGTCAATTGTAGAACTTCGGGAAAGGGCATCCAAGGGAAACCCTCACGACCACGCGTCGGTAATCCCATGGAGGTTCGAGGGTACGTTTGGTGCCATGTGCTCGTGCATTTCACCGTTGCGTCTGGCTCTGGCGACGGCAGCAGTAGGGCACACCTTCCCATCCTGGTGTGGCCGCGGTCGCAATGGTGTTGAACAGTTCATTGGTCGCAGATGGATGCAATATTCGTATTCGAAACCGGTTTCAGTTGACCACAGCTGTTAAATCTTCAGCACGCAGATGGATACACAGACATTCCCGAGTGGTTTGATCCTGGTCCTAAGAGGAGGGTGGTGGAGTATAGATTATCACCAAGAGCCAACAACCTAGCACACCACCAACCTCCGCCAACCTCCGTGAAGGTACGGGCAAAACCGACCAGTGCGTGCCGCTGTGCAGTTTTTTTTGAGGGTAGAACCGGTCTTGGGTGGTCCGTATGCCTTCTGGACACCCACGCCGTCTGTTTCGCTAGCTTCGGGTCAGGCGTCGATCTCGGACAGCCGTCATTCGGATAAGGGAGGGAAGGGGAGGCTGAGGAGGAGGAGGAGGAGGAGGAGGAGGAGGAGGAGGAGGAGGAGGAGGAGGAGAGAGGGAGGGAGGGAGGGAGGGAGGGAGGAGGGAGGAGGGAGGAGGGAGGAGGAACTGACCGCGGTGTAACGCAGAGTGTTGGGCAGGTCATCCACGGTCAGGCGCTGTCACCCACCGTCACCCGTGGCCAGGTGGGCTTCCACGGGTGGCCTCGAGAGCAGAGCCCCGACACTGCCCAGCGGGAAGCCTGCTCCGCCCAACCTCGCGCGGACCCCCCCCCGCCCGAGAGCTTGCAGCGGCTGCTGCCGTGCGTGAACTGGACGGACTGCGGCCAGGTCCGCCCTGGTCCCAGCCAGCCAGTCGTCGTCGACGTGGTCGTCGACGGCTGCCGCCGCCGCCGCCGCCGCCGCCGAACTCGCCCTCCCCCTCGCCCTCGCAGTCGCCGCCGCCGCCGCCGCCGCCGCCGCCGCCGCCCCCGTCGTCGTCGTCGTCGTCGTCGTCGTCGTCGTCGTCGTCGTCGTCGTCGTCGTTGTCCTCGTCGTCGTCGTTGTCGTCCTTGTCGTCATCGACTTCGTCGTGAGAGCTCCCCTGCCGCCGCCCTTGTTTTCCTTCGGCCGCGTCCTTCCTCCCTCCCTCTTGCGAGGTGGCACAATTTGCTCTAACGGCATCCCCGTGTAAGCCTCTCATCGCCAGCGCAGTCGCCTTCTGCCTAGCCGCCGATGCAAAGTGTGTGTGTGTGTGTGTGGTTGCGTGTGTCCCTCCCGTTCACCGTCGTTTCCGGCGCCCTGGGGGGCTTGCCGACGCTGTAGCCCTGCCGTTGCGGCTTTTGCGGGGTCCCCGCCGTCACTGCAGACCTTTTGCCCCCTTGGCATTGCACCGTGCCCTTCTACCAGCGTCTGCTGGCCCTGGCACTTGCTTCGAAGAAGGAGAAGCGCCATAAGCAGAAACTTCTTGGCGCTCCGCGCGGATTTTTTGGATCTGCGCCGGGCCCTCCCGGCGCCGCCCCTGGCGCGTTCCGCGCGTCAGGGAGGGGGGGGGGTGTCCGGCGCGGATCCAGGAAATCCGCTCGGAGCGCCAAAAGCAACAGTTTATGTTTATGTTGTTTTTTCTTCCTCTATTGCTGTAGTTCTTTCACGCTCATGCTTGCCACGACGTTTTCATCCAGCCATGCCGGTTGCGATTGCCTGTTGCCTTTTGCCCCGCTCCCTCCCGCCGGTCCTCGGTTCTCGGCGTCGTCGTCAGCCGTTCGTCCGCCCCCCCTCGTTTGACCCCCCCGTCATCCACGCCCGGCTGGCTTATGGCCAGCAGTTGCCGCTGTTCTGATGAGGGCTCGGCCGATCTAGACGCGCGCGCGCGCGATCGCTCCTACAGACTTTCTCCGCCCTGACCCCCCCCCCAAACAGTGTGTGTGTGTGCTGCTCCGCTCTGTTCACGTTGCCTCCATGCCCTCCTGGCCCACCTCGCCCAGTGCTCATCGCCACTGTCTGCGGCTTGACCACCCCTTGGTGGGTCAGCCATTGTGCACCCAGAGTGCCTCAGCTCTGCCTCTACTGCCCGTCGTCCGGCATCGACTCCTTCCCTCAACTCTCGCGCTTCCCCTCCCCCGGTCGGGCTCCTTCGTCCCTCCCCTCGCGGCTGCCTCTCCGTAAGCCGTGCTGCGCGACTCGCCATGGGTGATTTTGGCACCCCCTGCCGAGCCTGACTTCGCCGCGCTGCTGCGCCCGCGGACGCGACGCCACACAACGTGTGTGTGTGTGTGTGTGAGAGTGTGTGTGTGTGAGTGTGTGTGTTCCCCCCTTGGTTTTTTGGACCGTCGAACCGCCTCCCCCCTTTCCCCTCAGTGGCGTGCGACTCCTCCTCCTGCATGGTGGCTTAATTCGCGTTTCGTGCGCCTACCAACGCCCTATCGCCAGCGCAGTGACTCTGCCTAGCCGCCGACAGAAATCGTGTGTGTGTGTGTGGTGTGTGTGTATGTGTGTGTGTGTTCGTTTACGTGTGTGTGTGTGTGTGTGCGTGTTTACGTCTGTGTGTGTGTGTGTGTGTGCGTGTTTACGTGTGTTTGTGTGTGTGTGTGCGTGTTTACGTGCGTGCGTGCGTGCGTGTTTGTGTGTGTGTGTGTGTGTGTTTGCGTGCGGGCGTGATTACAACTGTACTATACACTGCACAGTTTCTCGGGGGAAGTGTGAAGGAGGCCTTAAACCCCTGGTGTCCAAAGATTGGAGACACCACCAGTCCTAAGGCTGGACCCCTCGTGCGAGTGCGTTTCACGTCCTTGTGTACGGAGGCGCTGCGCTGCTGGTGAAAAACATTTGATCTTCGAAGAGTGCCGCCAGAACACTCACACACATACCTTGTTCATCATCAGGGCTCTGGTAACATATCTTATTGTATCGTGTGCGCACTGAAGCGTAATCTAAGATCCAGTACGGTTCCATACTACCTCTGCCGAGGTTGCCGCCACTCGTGCAGCACTCTCGGCGTCCACAGCTTGGGAGCGATTGGTATCGACTTGAGCTGATTTCTCACTGTTTCTCATCGGTGCGTGCGTGTGTGCGTGTGTGCGTGTGTCTGGCCGCCGAAAAAGCCCGCGGCGGCCAGCGCGAGCGCCGGCGGCCCCCACCAAGCCCACGCCGCCCGCCCCGCCGGCCGCGCACGCCGTCGTGAGGCGGCCTGCGCCCGCACGCCCCCCTCCGGGAGGCCCCCTCGCTTCCAAGGTCACGTCGGGCCCGTCCCTCTGGAGGAGGAAGATTCGAGAACATAATAGTCTGGGGACGATGTTTCGATTTTCTTTTGGGCTACTTTTTTAAAAATAGTTTTTCGCCCGCAATCCGCTGGTAGGAGGACATGCCCGACCTAACGCTTCCAAGGGCGGACTGCATCTGCTTCGTAGGGGGCGCTACCCGCGGGCGCCCCACTGAACATGGCGGCCCCTGCCAGCGGGAGGCCGCCCCCCCCCCTCTCCTCCCGATCGTTTTGGCTCCTGGCTCCTTCTCGGTGCCAGGCCAGAACCGGACGCGACCTCCAGGTCCATGGAGCCCCCGCCCTTCGGCAATCCCGACCAGCGCCATGGGCGCGGGCCACCACGCCCTCGTCTCCCGGGTGTCCGCCATGGTGGGTGAGGGTTTCGAGTGCCATGACAACGTCAGTGCAGAATGGTACAACGGGGCCCTCCACAATGCCTCGTCTGCTGCCTCTCCCGCCACCGGGCAAAGCCTGCTTGAGCCCTGCGCTTTCCTTGCGAGTCCGCTGAAGAAGGAAGATGCGGAGGAGGGAGCCCAAGGAGGGGCAGGAGGAGGAGGAGGAGGAGGAGGAGGGGGATGGGAAGGACGAGCCCAGCCAGGACGGAGTTCGCCCCCCCCCCCCCCCTTCCCCTCCCTCATCCTCTGCAGGACATACTTTGCGCGCACACTCGTTTATCAAAAATCAGCAGTTTTCAAAATTCCCTTGCAACAGATGGGACGAAGTGCGCGCGCGCGTCGTCGCTCGCGCATGCCGAAATCCCTCAACAGTTTGAGGTGTCGTAGATGTGCCAGGCGCCTGCACGGCGCATCGGCAAATAAAGCTACCTTGAGCTTCGCACACGCCCTAAAACACATGATGGTTATGGTACGCTGCCCGTGGGCGCAGGAGGAGGGGAAGGGAGGAAGATAAATCGTTCTACGCACTCCAAGAAGAAACGGTTAGCTCAAGACCTGCCCGCCCTAGCGGCACGTCGGGCGGTGCAACAGGGTGCCCTGAGCGCTGGTAGGTAAATTGTGGAACAACTCGCATTGCCCCTGGGAGACGGGGGGGGGAGGGAGGACGGGGGAGGCGGAGGACAAGGGAGCGAGAGGGAGGAGCTAGGTCCTGCCATCGCCAACAAATCTGTGGACGCACTCAGCCCATTGCTTTTTGGGCCTCCCACGTCGTCGATTCAGAACCCACCGTCGAGGTTCACACGAGCCCGGCTTGCAAGTCAGAACCCTAAGCAGATGATCATTAGGAAGGGCGGCAATCGTAGTGTACAGTTTCGCCTGCTTGCTACTCAGGATTTGCACTCAGAGGTCGTTGTCCTGCCTTCTCGAAAACTTCTTTGTTCGACACTCTCAATACGTAGGAACACGGTTTCGATAATTTTATACGATGACACCGGGCGTGGAAGCCGTCTAGACGGCGTTTGTTCGCTTGCAACAGCCAAACTGAATAATCTTATATGAAGCTTGGGTAGAATACTTGCAGCGTATACCTTCTTTTTGCGATGGCTGGAAATATTTGCATGCGACCAACAACGCGGCACAGCTAGAAATATGCCCTTGACCTCGCCGATCCGTCGTGAGACTTCTGGCCGCGCTGCTCCATCTGCTGTGAGAAGTTTGATCCACTGTCTGTCTTCAATGTCTTCCACTGTCTGATAGTTTGATCCACTGTAGTCCCCTAAATCTATAGTTTGATCCACTGTCTTCAATGGGCCCCCCGACGGAGTGAAGATAGCGCCATCATGTTTATATGCAAAGCAACTGTTTTGTTCAGTTTAGTTCCAGTCCGTATAGCGCCCCTTCTTTGATGACTGTGTCCAGGAGTAGCTGCAGTTTCGTTGCGTCGCTGCTGGCCAGCATGGTGTCGTCAGCGTACAGCAGATCTGTGGTAACAAGATAAGGTGGTTCTTCAACGCCCAGGTTCGCAATTGCCATCTCCATATCGATGTTGTAGAACATAAAATACTGCACAATAGTGAATAGGTAAGGCGGGCATCCTTGCGCAATCCCCGCTTTTTGGCACCTCGTGGAAGAATCGCCTGCTTTGTCTTTCAGATAGAAAACAGATTTTTGTATACTCCTGCACTAACAAGTACCATCTGGTTTGGGATTCTCAACCGGCGCAGCGCTTCAATCAGTGTATTGTGCTTGATGCGGTCGAATGCTTTCGCCCAGTCGAAAATCCAGGAGAAGAACCCGCGCAAGCTGCGTCAACCATTCTGCGCACAATGGCAATAATTTGGATTGTGTTCCAGCCAGACCTGAAACCAAATTGTGTTTTTCGCATCCGCTTTTCAGCGCCTCCCCTTTGAAGTCTGCTTTGAATCATCGACGCCACTACTTTGTATCCAACAGGTAATCATGCAATCGGCCTGTAGTCTTCCGGCAGACTCGCATCCCCCTTTTATATAGAAGTGTGAGAAGACAGGCGGTCTGGTCCCAAGACTTGGCATGATGTCCCAAACTGGTTACAAAAATGATGCCCCCCCCCCGGATCCCGACCGCCATTAATTCGCATCCGAATAACTATTTTTTATCTGTCCCCCTGGAAACAATTCCATGGATGCCGATCGATGCCACTTGTATACACCTCGGTACCA